AGTCCTTCCTGACTGGAAAATTGGACTACCTGGTACTCGCTTTTGTTTTAGCTTGAACCCGGCCCCATGGAGCATCAAGGAGCATGTCTTGGTCACACTGACTGCAGCTTCGGGGGCTACGTACAACCTGGGATATGCTCCCATCGTCCTCGCAGAGCTGTGGTACGGTACACGAGTCAACCCGGCAGTTGCCATCTTCTTTATGCTTTCAATCGTGTGGATTGGCTACTCCTTTGCTGCTCTTGCCCGACAAATCCTTTTGCCTGACCCGGAATACATCTGGCCCCAAGCTTTGATGCAGACCACATTGTTCGAAACTTTCCGCAAGACAGACAACTCATCGGCTCTCGCTCGGCGCCAGATGAAGGTGTTTTTCTTCGCGCTTCTAGGAATGACCATGTGGCAATTCCTTCCCGAGTATGTTTTCCCATTCACATCGTCCCTAGCCTTCCTCTGCTGGGTGGCGCCTCGAAATCCGGTGGCCAACTTCATTGGCTCAGGTATTGGTGGCATGGGCTTCCTCAATCTCTCGTTGGATTGGTCAAATGTAAACTGGAATGGATCCTCGATCATGACGACTCCATACTGGACGCAAGTCATCTTGTTCTTGGCATTTGCTTTCAATTGTTGGGTCCTACTTCCTGCAGCGAAGTGGGGGAATCTAGGTTCCTTCAAGCACGGACTCATGTCAAATAGCCTTTTCCTAGGTAATGGTACAACCTACCCAACCCTCGACGTACTCACTCAAGACTATCGCTTGAACGTGACCGCTTATGAGGAGTATGGACCGATGTATATGGGCTTGCAGAATGTGTGGGCGACATTTTTCGACTACGCCAAACTTCCAGCAGCTGTCACTTGGATCTTGACGTTTGGATACGCACAGATTTCTGGGAATGTCCGAAGAATCTGGTCATCTCGCACAGCAGAAAAACCTACCAAGAACGAAAGCATTCATCACCAGTATCACGACCGCCTCAACGTCATCCAGAGACAGTACAAAGAGATTCCATGGTGGTGGTATGGTATTCTATTTTCGGTAGCCTTTGTCATTCTGATCATATTCCTCGCACTCGGGCATCTCTTCATTCCAATTTGGACATTGTTTGTGGCCCTTGCGAGTGCTGCTGTCCTGGTCATCCCGTTTGCTTGGCTTTACGCCATCTCCAACTACCAGCTTGAGACTGGCTCTTTCAACGAACTCATGTATGGCTACATGGTTCACACAAAAGCCGGTGAGACCCACCAACATCCCTGTGGTCCTTCTGTCTACGGGGCTATTGCGGGTGACGCCTGGTATCGTGCACAGTATATGCTTCAGGACCAAAAGATTGGTCACTACATGCACATTCCACCCCGCGCGGTTTTCTTCTCTCAAATTTTCGGCACTTGTATGGGTGTTCCGATCAACTATGCCGTCATTCGTTGGATCATGGACACCAAAGGAGATTATCTGACTGGCCGGAAAACGGACCCACTGAATCAATGGACAGGACAGTCCCTGCGAACCTCTAACACAATGGGGGTTCAGTACGCTGTGCTTGGCCCGAAGAGGCTTTTTGCTGAGACGGAAATGGCCGTGCTTCCCTGGTCATTCCTTATAGGGGCGGCGATTCCTCCTATTCTCTTCGGTTTCCACCGTTTCTTCCCCCGGCTTCGAATTGACCTGTGGAATGTCAGTATCTTTTTTGGAGGACTGGCGATGTTCTACGGTAACATCAGTACTGGTTACACATCTGCCATTATCGGTGGATATATTGTAATGTATTGGGCTTACCGTCGCCATTTTGAGGTCTGGAAGCGGTATAATTACCTGGTTGCTGCTGCGTTTGATGCTGGATTTAACCTCAACATGTTGCTCGTCTTCTTCTTTTTCGGGGCAGGCAAGCAAATTTCGATGCCAAAATGGTGGGGCAATAATGCAACGTCTGTGGAGAGATGTTTCGCTCTTGACAGGTGATTTGCTTTTATAATTTGGGAAACGAATAGCTGGTATTATAAGTTCTAATATAAAAGTTGCCTCTTTTTTAAAAAAACTTCACTAATGTAGGCAGAAGGAGCATCCTAGCATGTTGTAATATTGTTCGATGGCCTGGGGCTAATACTTGCCCATATAAACACGTTAGATAGGATTATCTTGCTGTGTAGGTAAATCTTTCAATAGTTTGCTCTTTGGTTTCATTTTCAGTTCCTTTTCAGTTGATATAATACTTCTGAAGGTTATCCTTGATGCCTCAGGGCAAGATTTGTCACGGGGCTTGATCACCCACGACAGCCAATCAGACGGCGAGGTCACCCTTACATGTTGTTTTGGTTCGAGGGGGAAGACCTTACTTTGCAGACCGTCTTTTAAATTCCCCTTGCCCCCTTTCCACCAACCATCCTTTCTACAATTCTCCATCCACTCTAAATAAAACCTCATTATGGCTGACCAGGCGACTATTTCCAACTCCAACGAGCAAGCCTTCGCCAAGGGCAAGGGCAAGGCTGACCCCACGCAAGATATGAGCATGGACGAGGAGAGCGAGTCGGAGAGCGAGAACGAGATCGTGAGTCTACAATTTATACACCCATCTACTTATTTTATGCTGACTTTGCTTGCGTTTTCCTAGGCTGACAATGGTGTGCCCCCCCCCCCCCCCCCCCCCACCACTATCACTCCCAAGCAACCCATGCCTGAATAACCACATGCGCCAGAATGACCGTTAATTGCCTCCATACTGACCATTTCTGCTCCTAGACGAAGATGATGACACACAAGACAATCTCAACGACCCTATCGACCAGAACAACATCATTCAGGGTGGCCGACGCACACGCGGCAAGGTCATTGACTACTCCAAGATCTCCACTGATGAGATGGAGGATGACGAGGATGACGATGAGGAATATGAGGGCCGCGAGGACAACGAGACCAACGATGATGACCAGATGCGCGACTAAGCTCGACGAATACAAAACTTCCGGGTGGCATGGAATTGCTTTGAACTATATAGGCGCCGCGGATCGGTCCACGATGGTTTTTTTTTTTTTTTCTTTCGCGTGTGTCCATAAGATGTCTCGCGATTCTGTGATGACAATGAATCAATGAATATCTCTTCAGATTTCTTTTTCCAACCCCGTTGATATACATATAATCCATTGACTATGGGTTGGCCGATGTTCAGCCTATGATGTAATTTGTAGACCAAATAATAGATATTTCTAGCGGCATAACTTGAAGCGAGCATTGCTTTTTCCATTACATTCCATCGTAATCAATCCCGAAATGACCAAATTGACAATAAACAGATGCCCATGCGAACCGCAACTGTGGTGTATCTTGTGTGTCGATTTCCAGTACTTCCAACTTTGGAAGGTTGGGCTATCACGTGTTGTTCGGCGAATGACAACGCTATGGCCACCTTGATGTTTTTATCTCCGCAAGCATCGAGGACTTGAACAGTGGTCGACTTGGATTTTGACCTTTGCGAAATGCTCGATTGCCGTTGAACAAATTATTCGCAGTTTATGTTCCTCCTCTTTCTCCTTCACGAACTCTAGCTACATCCCACGACCGTCATGGCTTCACGGTATAGTTCCACCATTGATCTCTCGGTTCATTATGGGGTGTCCTTCAGCTAATGCAGAAGTAACCTAAATAGGTTTCCTCGTCAACGTGATCCCCGCGCCGCTTCATCTCTCTTCGATCAATACGGTGGTGACTCCCGTCAAGCTAGCAGATCGCCTGCCCAACAACCAGGTGGATACGGGTACGGAGGTTACTCCAGCCCAGCACCTAATGGTTATGCGAGTAGCGGTGCCGCTGGAGCAGGATATCAGAGTGCATCGCCGGACAAAAAGTACGTTGAGTGGCTCATAATCTTTTGGGAATCGCTTGCCATTCTTCCGACTATGGATGTATAGTCGCTAACCAAGGCTTTGCTATAGGGGACACTACTCCGATGCAGTTCTCTCATCTCTCGAGTCACAAAATGACGCTGAGGTCGAGGGTATCAGCGCCAAGGTCAAAATGTTGAAGGATGTAAGCAGCCTCGCACCCATATTTCCAGGCCTAACGAAAGCAGGTAGTCGTTCGAAATAACAAACTGCTGACGGGGGAAAAACTATCTAGATCACAATTGCAATTGGCGATGAAATCCGAGACACCACACACATTACCGATCTCAACGATTCATTCGATAACACTCGAGTCCGACTCCGCGGGAATATGAACCGCATGCTTCGCATGGCTGAGAGCACCGGCGTCGGCTGGCGAGTCTGGCTCGGCTTCTTTTTCGCTGTCTTCCTCCTGTTCTTCTATGTGTGGATATTCTGAACGTATACCCTTGATGTCTCTGTAATGTCCTATCGCGCTCTACACTATGTCGACCACGCCCGCCTTTCTCGTCTTTTCATCTTTAACCTCCCGTCTTCACGCAAAACCCAGCGACTTGCTTCTTTTACTTGATCCCATATGGATCTAATCACGCACATGACTTATCAGTATCTTCAGCATGGGAATCTTGGCTTTGGCGCTATAAGGTGTTCTGGGACTATGGATTCTTTGAGCTATGTATATGCAAACCCCTGCCATTGGGTCAGAGGTCGGCTATGTACCGATTTCTGGATCGGCACCTTGGGGAGTCTGCCTGGTATCCATCCCCGGGGATAATTCAGGAAAGTTGACCAATGTGATCCGGTTATGGTCAGGTTATTTCTGGCTGGAAAATTTTTTCAGTAAACCGTACATAATGCATATAAAACAATATACAGAAACTGCCCGAGCAAAGTGAGCCATTTTCAGGTAGAGCTTTACCTTCTAGTCTGTGCGTGTTAGCTTCAGAACGCTTCTGAGGTCATGTTCATTGGATTTACTCATAGAAGATCTTACGTCAAAAAGAGGTATCATACGCTGCCATCAAAACTCCGAGGCAGAATCCTAGCGAGATCCATCTTTTACGCTCGCACAAAACGCCGTAGAGGAAATTGAACAATTACAACCTTGTTTCGAATAGCCTCTAGTTTAGACTATCCCTGGGCCTACCGATGTGCCGCGGGAACCTTCTCGCAAACCCGCTTCGTCGACTGCCCTGACTGGTTATGGATGCACGCAGGTCTTCATCACTGTAAAGCATGCTGCTAGAATCAAATGCATCGCCACCACCGCTCCAGCGATTGAGGAAACGGCGCTGGGCTTCAGTCTCGGGCTCGCGGCGCAGAGTCGGAGGTTGAGGCAAACCACCACGGCTGTTTGGCGTGCTGGTGCGGAAGTTCTCGGCAAATCTGGTTTGAATGATACTGGGTTCATTTTCATCATCCTCGTCACTCAGCTCTTCTTCGCTGTCTGTGTGCTGCCATTCCCCTTCTTGCTCCGAGCCTTGCTCTGCAGCATCAGGGATATCATCGTCAAGGTCGCGCGTCATGCCTTCGCTCACACTCTCACTGTCGGCGGCAGGTATCTCCGCATCCAGATCAGGCTGGTTGTCGAAATCATCCTCTTCGTCATCATCATCGTCATCATCATACAGGCCTGAGCCCTCATAGTCATCATCGGGGAACCCTTCGGGAATGTCATCATCCAAGTCGCGCTCCATGTATTCTCCTTCGTCGCCAATGTTATCTTCCTCGAGTCCCTCTTCGCCTTCCTCGATAAGACCCGAGGCCTCCTCCTCCGCGTTGGGGATATCATCATCCAAATCGCGTTCCATGCCTTCGTCCTCTTCGACTTCCCCGGTCTGCATCCCCATGTCATCATCCATAATTCCTTCACCTTCTACAGCTTCCATCTCAGCCGCAGCAGCTTGTAGCGCCTCTTCACGCTCCGCTTCTTCCTCTTTCATACCGAGCATTGTCTTCGCACATCCCGCCGGCCTGATCCATGAGTATCCGAACGACGCGATGTTCAATTTTCGAGAGCGTAGCGAGCGTTCTTCTGCAGCTAATGTAGCGATTGTGTTGGCAGAAGAGCGGGACGGCATTAATGAGCGATGACTGCTGGGAGTGCCGCTGGCGTTGCGTCGGGCGAGGTGGTTGGCAGCGGAATTGTCGCCAGCTTGTTGATCTGAGATAGAGCGATATGGCTGAGAAGATCCGAACCAAAGTTCGTGGGACTATCGAAGTTGTTAGTTTTCTCGAGGGCTGTTTGAGAAGCTTGAATCGCTAAAGCCTGGCACTTACATCGCGCGGGGTGATGGATGAAAGGGTGAGCATCTCTGCAAGTATTGTTGCTTCAATGCTGGATTTGGGAATACTATGATGCCTCCAGGGCTATTCCGATGTTTCTGCTTATGGAGCTTTGTGGGGATGGCCTGTTGCAGATGCGGCGCTTTGTAGCTGTACTCCGAAGTAGTATGGTACGGCGACTGGAGTGGTCACTGGTTCTGAAACGTCACGACACGCGTGAGCTTTAATTATCTTGAAAACAAAAAGACATAAAAGAAGCAATTGGCGATGTTGATATAGGCCCACGATATCATCCAAGGTCGGGAAACCGCGCGCGCGAAGGCAGAAAAGGCCAGAGCTCCACAGCCAATCAATTCATCTATGCGGGTAGTCCCCAGTCCTATGTTGTACTTTATATACATACAATATAACTAGTCAGTTATATCTACTCCGTATGCTTCAATTCACTACATCAGAGCCAAGCATCATATATGTAGGAACGCTCTAAAAAACCAAGGCTAATTATATTCCACATAGTAACTAACTAGTTAACTATCGTCTATTAGTGACCAATAACACTTATAGCTCTAAACACAAGAATAGTCCTCCGCCTATGCAGCCTTGTTGTGTCTTTTAGATACCTTTTTAGGTGCCTTTGTAGGTGTATATGGAGGCAGTAAAAAAAAATTAAAAAAAAAAAAAATTCTTCGTGCAAGAGACATTTCTATGTATAACCTTTGACTCTTTATAGATCGACCTATCCAAGTTCTATTTTTGCATGGCTGGTCATGGATATATATAGCTCGTACCTTCTATATTATAGGGCGTTCTTTTTCAGCTTCTGCTGGTTTGCCCTTAGGGACCTGCACAGCATGGAGAGAGGTACTTCCACCTCCGCAGTTGGAGTGCTTCAAGGGCAAAACCCAGTCAATAATGAGTTTAGCCTTTTGTTAACCCAGGCCCTTAGCCACGGGCACTACATATGTACTCCGTACTACGATGCATTATTCAAGAGCCAGCCAAATGTCTACATATGTACTCTGTAAGTAAGACTCACCTGAGTCAAAATCTAAGACCTCCCAAGACCTAGATACAGGAGGAAGTGAGATGGTGCTCTAGTGGTGCGATGTTCTGAAGTTGTACATTGTGAGGAGAGGGATGTTTCATGAATCCAGAATGGAAATATTAGTTAAAGTGGTGAGATGTTCGAGTTGTTCTCATAGTTAGTTGATATGTTCAATGTTAATACTGTTGGTTTCCGGAATCACCCGATACCAGCAACCCGGTGAACCTAAAGTGGACAAGAGGCGCCTCGGGAAAAGCCGGGTGGACGCTGTTGTGCCTAGGTAGCTTTCCCCGAAATCATGACGTTCGATACGTCTTCTCATGTTACTTTCATCGGCACTTTGATTGGACTAGAAAAGGCGGGGATTATGTGATATCCACCCTGGTCTGGTTCCGGGGTTAAATCTGGTATAAAATACGGTAACTATACATTGCTTGCTATATATGTGGGCTATAAAGAAATCAAATGCAGAGGATCCTAATCCTATTTCACCCGATCAACATTGATGTATACGGTAATGAGCTAACACTATATGTAGACAGCTAGGCCAAAAAGGAGAAAAGATCCTTAGAAGAAGTTATGTATTCTTATTATCATCATCTACCTTATCTCTATATCTTCACATGTCTAGACGGATCACTTTCCTCCGGACTCTATTTAACCCCGAATTATACAATGGGGTAAAGCATATGGAGTATTTTAGAATGTAAAACATGGGGAAGTAGGGATTCCGATCAATTCGTGGAGCTGAATCCTTATAGTCCAGGGGTCAATACCAATAAATGGGCAGATAATTTGAACCGAACCGCGATAAGCAGTTTGGATGACTTCAAACGGATTGGGGGAACCCCGTCCGCAAACGGCTCCCCGAAATCGGGCTATGCATCTACAAGCGAAGGCGATAGAGAGGGGAAACCCGGGAAGAGGGGACTTGGCCGTTGTCGGAATGTCCGCGTATGGAGTACCGTTACTCGTTACTCGTTACAGGTATTGGCATTACCATCCATTGGATGTCTGATTGTCTTTATCTTTAATATGCCCAATGTCCACTTAATGCCCCAAAATAGTTTACTTTTTCTTTTCTGTCTTTTCTGATATGAACTTGAATATAAAGATATCTTTCAAATCGGTACTTTTGCTTGGGGATTTTTTTTTGTACCTTTTCAGGTCCCCCTTCCTGCAGATGCAGACTAAATGCAGACTGCTCGAAACCAAATGGATTAAGCACTACATCTTGGCCCCACTGGGGGAGTGCGCCCATTCACCTGGGTCTCCCACTCTCCATGTGAGAATTGCCTTATTTCTAATACGGGAATGTGTACGGAGTACACCGTACTCGGTACTATATACCCTGTATGTATATGTCCAATGAGCAGCTCTGATACTTTTTTTTATGGGTCTATGGGCCTGATGGGCCTATGGGGCCGCCCGGCCCACTGGACCTTGTTTTCTTTGAGTGTTGGAGAGAATAGAGAAAGAAGAAGTGAGGTCCGGAGTAGACATAAGATTAGATATAAGAATCAGTTTAATAGAATTAGTTATATATTATAGTCATATATAATTAAGATATTAGTATGTTTACTAAAGTTAGTTGACGTAGTAAAGAGCTAACCCTGGGTCGTAACATCTTCACTCTGATTGGTTGAGTGATGCTTATCTTGGGATGATTTGCACTCCGTAATCATAATGATTATCATTACTTTGGAATGCTCTTGGAGCTGCTTTCGTCTACTGTATGTCAACTTATGCCCTGTTCAACTGATGCAGTAGAGAGCTTCGAAGTGGCATGTTATAATATGTAACATAGCATATAGCATATAGCATGTTTTATTGTTTTACCATACCATTTTGCTATTTTACTATTTTACTATTTTACTCATATTTCTTTCACCTAAACATCCTCTTACCGTTTCTCTTGGCTGCTTTCACCTAACAATTTGCCACGGTAAACTCCCCACCATTGTAATTTTTCCCTTTTGGGGTACATCGGGGCTTGCAATCCCCGGACCTGCTGTCCCGCCGTAATCGCCCATCCTTTTTTTTTTTTTCCCCTCCCCTCCTTTTTATTCTCTAGTTCTCCTGTTTGTTACCTTCCCCCATCTTCCATCTTCAACTCTTTCGCAGAAGCTGGGTGATCATTGACCCGTTTGTTCCTCCCTCTCCCGCATTGCGACACACCCTGTGACGACATCGCTGTCAACCCCCAGTCAACCCCCAAATCGGCGGGGTCCTTCCTAGAAACCAATCCCCTTCAGTTACCATTCCATTCTCTGTCGGCTCCCGGCGGAAGAATGGGTCTTAACTTGGAGGAGCTCTATGGCAAAGATATAAGTGAAGAACAGGCTCCTCATGAGTATTCTCAGTACCAACCCCAAAAGGGTTATGGCTGGGCCAATGCTCTGCCAGAGCGGCAAGGTCTGTACGACCCTGAATACGAGAAAGATGCCTGTGGTGTAGGCTTTGCAGCGTGAGTGAAAATCCCCTAAGACTGCGTCCCCAATTGGAGACATGAGGACCAACTCAATTCTGACGGACAAATCAGTCACATCAAGGGAAAGCCAAGCCACAAGATTGTTAGCGATGGTGAGTGCTAGTTTTCTACTCTTTGAGCTCAAGGTCAGAACAAATGAAGCTGATAGCAATCGAACAGCTCGCAATCTGCTGTGCAACATGACCCACAGAGGAGCCGTTGGCTCTGATGCACGGGACGGTGACGGTGCTGGTGTGATGACCAGTATTCCACACAAGTTCTTCATTAAGAACTTCGCCCGTGAGGTGGGTGTGGATCTCCCCCCGTTGGGACAATATGCTGTTGGCAACTTGTTCTTTAAGCCCGATGAGGAGGCACTCAAGCAGTCCATAGCGAGTTTTGAGGAATTGGCCACGACACTCGGCTTGCGCGTTCTTGGATGGCGTGAAGTGCCCCGGGATTCAACCATTCTTGGTCCTGCCGCACTATCTCGAGAGCCCATTATTATGCAGCCATTTGTGGTCTTGAAATCAGCATACGGTGAAGGCAACCAGCCCGAGATCACTGACACTGAAAAGTTTGATGAGAGAACCTTTGAGCTTCAGTTGTACGTTCTACGAAAGCGTGCCACTCATGTCATCGGTCTCGGAAACTGGTTCTACCTCTGTTCTCTCAGCAACCGGAACATCGTCTACAAGGGTCAACTCTCTCCCGTTCAAGTGTACACGTACTACCACGATTTAGTGAACGTAGACTATGAGGGCCACTTTGCCCTAGTACACTCTCGATTCTCTACAAATACATTCCCATCCTGGGATCGTGCCCAACCCCTCCGATGGGCTGCCCATAACGGTGAAATCAACACCCTGCGAGGAAATAAAAACTGGATGCGCGCACGAGAGGGTGTCCTGCGGTCAGATGTCTTCGGCGAGGAGCTTGACAAGCTGTACCCCGTCGTTGAGGATGGCGGTTCCGACTCAGCCGCGTTCGATAACGTGCTTGAACTACTCATGATCAATGGCGTTCTGTCCCTTCCTGAGGCAGTGATGATTATGATTCCCGAGGCCTGGCAGGACAACCCAGCCATGGATCCAGCCAAGTCCGCTTTCTACGAGTGGGCTGCCTGTCAGATGGAACCTTGGGATGGCCCAGCTCTTTTCACTTTCTCCGATGGACGCTACTGCGGTGCTAACCTTGATCGTAACGGTCTCCGTCCCTGCCGTTTCTACGTAATGGACGATGACCGCATCGTCTGTGCTTCCGAGGTCGGCGCTATTGATATTGACCCCGAGAGAGTCGTTCAAAAGGGTCGCTTGCAGCCTGGAAAGATGCTGCTGGTTGATACCGTGGCTGGGCGGATCATTGATGACGCTGAGCTCAAGCAGACTGTTGCCCGCCGCCAGGACTTTGCCAGCTGGCTGGACAAAGGGCTTCTGAAACTCCCTGCTATCAATCAGACGCTACTTGACTCCAACGTTGATCTTTCTTTTGCCCTGGACAATAACACCATTC